ACCCCGTAATAATGTGCTTGTTGTGTACTTGCTGTGTGCTGTGCTCTGAGAAATTTTCCGTATTAATTCCAGCCGCCAGATTTCACGAACACACAAATATCGCGACAAAACTCACGATTCCTTCCACACCATGAGGATGCTTGGCGGTCTATCACTGAGAGTTTTACTAGGAGTTTTCTTCCTCGCACAATCTCTTTGTTTCTCTCTGTTTGGAATCGTTTACCTACCATAGGCGAAATTTTACAGACCAATACGACTTAGGAACCTTCAAGGAAAAATCTCTTTTTTAAAAGGCCGGCAACGCACCTGGAAATTTCCCTGGTGTTTTAGTTGTTCATGAGTGCCGGTAGTTACTTACCATCAGGTGAGCCGTATGCTCGTTTGCTCACTATACTATAAAAATCTGTTAATGTTTTTGGGAACACATGTACTGAAGTATTCAAAGTTGTTGACGAGTATATTTATCTAGGATAAATTAATTGTACGTGTGGTTGTTTGACTTTGCGCAAGAGATTAATTAACGGATCTACCTCATCATACACACATCATCTTATTTGTAAAAAATAAAAAAAGTGTAACCAGTATTGTCATAATTGTAATTATTACGTGTGAAAAAGCTTAAGATTGCTTGCCGAGCAAGCATTAGTGCGTATAAATTTATTATCTAATAAGTTTTTATTAAAAAGTTTCGATGCTTATCGTGTAAGGCCTTTGTATTTATTTCATGTGTTAGTCTTTTACCCGTTTACGTGTGATACGTTATATGAGAAGGAAAAATATATAAAACTATTCCTCCAATTCCGGCTTCAGTGCGGGCTTCAACCTGCTCACTCACTGAAATATTATGGACTTACTGAAAGCCAAACGATGGCGGGTGGAATACTGTTAGCGCAAAGATATTGACTTTGCTGAACAAGTGTGGGTAAATGAAAGAATGTAGGCACTACTTCTAGGAGACGTATTTTATTTTTAGAATCTTGTAAACGACTAAAAATTTACAAGTACTACAGTGGCTTAAAAAGTTGTTTATGATGAGATGACTTAGATTCACCAGCGTTTAGTGAAGTAGTAATAAAGTCGTGTAAATATCCAAAGACTACGGAATTGGCAGACTTTATTTTCTCTACAGGCCG